AATGACAACTGCAACAAAAAAATAGCCAGGCATTGTGGCAGGTACCTGTAGTCCCAGCTACTTGGGAGGCTGAGGCAAGAGAATAGCTTAAGCCCAGGAGTTTGAGGTTGCTGTGAGCTGTGATGCCACTGCACTCTACCAAGAGTGACATAGTGAGACTGTCTCAAAAAAAAAAAAAAAGTAAATTTAAAAAAAGAATATAATTACTGTGTTTTGAACATCTCAAATTAATGATCTTTACCAATTTTCGTGGTACACTGGTTGAAAATCACTGCTCTAAGGTATCCTGAGGCCCTTCTGCCTTACCTGCTCCTTTCTGTCCTAAAGAGGATTTAGCATTTAGTTTTGATAGGCCCTCTCCTGTTCCTGGCATTGATACTAATTCTTCTTTCTTTCTCCTTTAGGGTCCAACCACAGCAGGCCTGGTGTCCCAGTGGAGGAAAGTCCTGGGCGGAACCCAGGAGTTTGACTTCTTGCCAGGCAGCCCCAGATGCGGGAAGCAGACAAGCACATGGGGAGCTGGAGAGAGCCAAGCAGAAACTTCATGCCAGCCCACCCCCGCTCTCCAGGCCACGTTTTAGATGGCTTTGTAGATGGGGGTCTGGGCATCTTCAGAACCAGGTGCCGGTGCCAAGCACCTTCAGCAGGCCCTGCCCTCCTTTAGGAGGTAGGGGGTCAGGAGGGCACAGCTCTCTAGGCCTGCTTCTGGAAGGAATGAAAGGAATATCATCATCTCTAGGGCCCAGGGCCCAGCCTTTTCCCTTCTCCCCATAGGCTGTGACAGTGCAGTGTATTTATACCTCTTCAGGCCAAGCCACCACGTGAGTGCACAAACTGCCTTTAGGTGGCCATGACCTATACTCTGCTTTTTGCCAATCTTCTGCTGCTGGCAGCACTTTCTGAGCAAACAGAGGACACCAGTTTTGGCAGGGGGTTCAAATTCATGGCCTCATCCGTGGTGTGGAAACCATTTTTCTGACAATGCCATTTTTCAGAGCACAAACTCTAGCCTCTCCCATGTGCCAAACCAGAAGCACGGTTACCCACCAGTCCGTCCCTCTGGTCCTGCTCCCTCCTGTGGAGGTTGTTCTTCTGACCTCTTCTAGGGCCCTGAGTGAGCGAGCTGACCCTGGTGGCGCTGATGGGTCCTGCTTCTCTGCCTACCGTGCTGAGTTGCCACTAGCAGTGTTGTCAGTTTCTGTGTTCTTAGAGGTCATCCCTGGGAGGAGGCAGTCTTCTTGCTGCATCTAATCCAGTGGTTCTCAACCTGTGGGTTGTGACCCAGAGGAACTGTATTAAAGGGTTGTGGCATTAGGAAGGTTGAGAACCACTGAATTCTAAACCTTTCTTCCTTGTGTGATCCCAGAGGAGAGTGGTGCCTGTTAGATCTGCTTCACGCCTTTCCTTCCCATAGGCCTCTATGGAGGTGTTACAGGGCTATGATGCGCAGAGCAGCAGGGAGGGAGGGACTGTTAATGAACCAGATGGACCCTCATTACCTTTCTTTAAAAGAAAAAAAATAAGTTTGTCTTATATCTCTAAACATTTCAAGTTCTTTGCTTTATTCTGTTCCTAGCTGTGGGGTTTTAAAGAAGTGGAAACAAGAAGGCATTTGTCTTTTTCTTCTAGTTTACCTTCCCCAGTTCTTCAGCTATGTGAAACTGGGGTACCACAGGGACATAGGATTGTAGATTGGGGGGATTTCTGGAACTTTCCTCAAAGGCATTTGGACCCTTATATTATAAATAGGACTCAAAGCCACAGAAATAGTGGTATGTTTGTTTAGAAATTGTTCTCAAGGAGTGCACGCTTAATAGCAAACCCAGGTGGGAAACAAACACTTTGAAATCTGCCCAGAACAGGGATTCTTAATCTTGGAATCACCTGGCAAATTAAAAAATACTTATACCTGGGCCCGCCTCAGGGCGTTTGACTTAATCAGTCTGGGCATCAGGGTTTTATTTTCAAAATGTTTTTAGATTCACAGAAGGGTTTCATACACCTTTCACCCAGCATCAGCTTATGTTAACATCTTACATAACCTTAGCATATTTATTCAAAACTAAAAAATAAACACTGGTGCAATAATATCATTAACTACAGACTGTTTGGATTTTACCATTTTTCCAGTAATGTCCTTTTGCAGGATCCAATCCAGGATATCAAGATAGAGCTGTTGCTTTTCCCCTAACTTTATATTTTAAGATAATTACAGATTCATAGGAAGTTGCAAAGATAGAGGCCCCGTGCACCCTCCATTCAGTTTCCCTTAATGGTTATATCTTACATAATTAGAATACAGTATCAGAACCAAGACTTTAACCCCTGTGCAATGTGGGCGTATAGTTCTATATCATTTTGTTCACGCGCACATTTATGTAACTACTGCCACAATGGAAACAGAATTGTTCCATCACTGGCATCTCCTTTGACTACCCCTGTAGAGGCACATCTCTCCCTTCCCTACACTCCCTTACCCTTGGAAATCACTGATCATTCATCTGTAGTATTTTGACATTTTAAGAATGTTATATACATGGAATCATACAGCGTGTAACCATTTGGGGTTGGCTTTTTTTTAGTCAGCATAATTCTCTGGAGATTCATCCAGGTGGTTGCCTGTGTCATAAGATGATTTCCTTTTTACTGCTGAGTGGTATTCCATGGTATACTCATTGTCCTGTTTAAGGATGTCTGGATTGTTTCCAGTTTGGGGCTATTCCAAATAAAGCTGCTGTGAATTTTCATGTACAGGTTACTGTGTAAAGATTAGTTTTATTTTCTTTGGGATAAATACCAAGGAGTGCAATTGCTAGATAAAACAGTTGTAGCTTGTTTAGTTTTTCTTTTCTTTTTTTTTTTTTTTTTT